TGGGACCCGCAGCGGCAGAAGCAGGATGGCGCCCCTGCCCCGTGTGCCTACCATGAGGGTCCCCCCGCGGGCAGAGCCGCGAGCGTCCCCGCAGCCAGCCCTGCCACGGCACCTCCCGCCGGGACAGGGCTCCCGCTGCCTCCCCACAGCCGGGGCCACCTGGAAAGACACTTTGGCTTTAGCCCAGGCTGGCACAGGACACGGGGCTCCCAGTGCCACTAACCACATGCCTGGCCCCTCACGGTGCCCCCAGCCCCACTCACGGTAGCGGACACGGATGGGCCAGACCATGATGCAGCACAGAGAGGCGACGGCAGCGATGGCAATGCCTCCGGTGACCAACACCATCACCCAGTGGTAGAAGCTGATGCAGGCAGGGCAGCAGAGCTCGGTCCTGCAGGGAGAGGGCAGGGACGTGGCTTGGTGGCCAGGACCGGAGCCTGGCCCACTGCTGCCCAAGTGGCCTGGGGCTGCTGACAGCGCTCCCACTTCCTCGGTGTCAGGACTGGTTCACACTGGGACGTGAGGGAAAGGTCCAGGGCAAGGAGAGAGGGCAGCACCCTGGACATTGAGATCCCCAGCCCCTTCGTGCGTCCCAGAGATGCAGCCCTCATCTAGGGCCAGAAGAGAAGTCGAGGATCAATTTAAGACAAATCAGAGCTGGTTTCCACCCGCGTCTCTTGCTCCAAACCAGGGATATTTGCTGCCTGGCCCCCAGGCGGTGTGGTGGGAGCTGCCACTGGGAGGGTTCCCACCCCACAGGGACGCTTACGGGCACGGGTGCAGGTTCTGGATCACCATCACAGCCAGGCCATTGGCCATCTTGTCCGTGAAGCTCATGGCGCCGTAGACGAAGGCGCCGCTGTGCTGCGAGGGGAGAGGAAACCTCATCGGCCGCCAGTCCCGCCAGGCAGCCCAGGAGCCTTGTGCCCTCTCATGGGCAGAGCCCATATTACAGCAGAGCCCGGACACATAGAATCGTAGAATCGTTAAGGTTGGAAAAGACCCTTAAGATCATCGAGTCCAACCGCTAACCCAGCGCTGCCAAGGCCACCACCAAACCATGTCCCCAAGCACCACATCTCCCTGGCTTTTAAATCCCCCCAGGGATGGGGACTCAGCCCCTGCCCTGGGCAGCCTGGGCCAGGGCCTGACAGCCCTTTGGGGAAGAAGTTTTTCCCGGCTCCAGCCTCCTTTCAGGCCGTTGCAGAGAGCGATGAGGGCTCCCCTCAGCCTCCTCTTCTCCAGGCTGAGCACCCCCAGCTCCCTCAGCCTGCCTGCACCCCCACAGCAGAGCCCCCTCACAGGGGTCTCCGTCCCTGCCGCGATCCCCCACCAGTGACTGCCCCAGCCTGTGGGCTCCAAGCCCTGCTGTGACACCCCAGTCCATCCCGGCCGGGAGGAGTGGACATACCGTGTTGGTGCCGATGAGGTCTGCTGTCATGGAGAGGGAGGTGACCAGGATAGTGGCGGAGCCAGCCCCAAGCAGCACAGCCGCCCCATAGATCTCCGCTCCCATCTGCCTGGCCAGGGTCACCCAGGAGGCAAAGGCCAAGATCACCAGGATGCCCACGAAGTAGGTCAGCTGCTCCGGGCCAGCGTGGGGACAAGAGGAGGGAGAAGGGAGAGCTCAGACCCCAGCTCGGCTGACACCCAGCAAGGCAGGGGTGAGTGGGGAGGGCACGGGGGCCAGCTGCTGCCTCGGACCCACGGGGGACAGCCCTGGCTCTCTCCCAGCTGGTGTTAAACAAGGAGCCCCCAGACAGCAAGGGCCTTGCAGTGGTCCCGGCTGTTCTACAGCGTTGGCCGCAGCCTAGGAGCCAAGCCCCCAGCAGAGCTGTAGGCAGGGTGCCTGCGTAGGGCACGGGGCCACCCAGCTGGCAGGAGAGGTGGGGGCTTACTGGGGAACGGTGCTTGCTGCAGCGCGGAGCGGGGTGCACTGGAGGAGCAGCCCCCTCCCACTGGCACTGCAGACCCCCACACTGCACGCCTGCCCAGGGTGGCTCAGCCAAACCCCACCTCTGCCTCTCATGGGCACCATGGGGCTCTCCCAGCCCGGTCAGGGCTGCACAGGATGGGCTGACTCTGGATCAGCATCGCATTCCCCAGCCTCAGAGATGTGCAGGATAGGCCCATGCCCCCTCACCCTGCCCACCACCCACACCGTCCCAGTGGGACCCACGCCGCAGCAGGGGGTTGCCTGGAGAGGATGCATGAGGGGTCCCCGCTCTCCAGCCAGGTCCAGGTGTGCTGAGTGCTCTGCTCACTTGTGCGGTCAGGATCTGGCCCCTGGGCCTCTCCTTGGGTCTAACTCAAACCTCACCAGACCCCCAGGACTCACATTACGACCTATCCACTTATTCACAGGCTTCATGAGGAAGGAGGAGAGGAAGCCACTGATGTACATCACCAGGGGGATGGTGGCGATGTATTTCTGCGAGAGACGAGGACAGGGAGATGAGCTCTGGGTCACCGGCACAGTACCCTTGCCCATGCAACCTCGACATGCGAGCAGGGACCTGCCCTGCGCCCACCTTGGGCAGCAGCAGCGAGTTGGTCAGGTACATGGCGATGTAGGTCTGGGACAGGTTGACGATGAGCCGGGTGGACATGTAGAGCACTGCAACCTGGGAGGGGACAGAGACAGGGCAGCACCGCTCAGCCCGTGCAAACTGGAGGTAGGGAAGGCTGGCACCTTCCAAGCCCAACCCTGTCATGGCACAGATGCCCACTGAGAAGGGGACAGCCCCCCTAGCGTGGTGGGTGCCCAGTACAGCCCATCTCTCCATCCTCACCCGCACCAGGGGCACGTCCCCACGGCCAGAGGATGCCCACAGCACCCAGGCAGGGCAAGCAGCCCAGGACAGGCGCCACAAACCCTGCGCGCAGCCGTACCTGGTAGAAGGCAGGCTCCAGCAGCCAGTCTTTCCAGATCAGCAGTGGGCGCGGGGGGCTCACAGGCTCCTTCTGCAGCAGGGGTGTGCTCTCCTCCAGCTGGGGCAGTGAGCCCGGCGGGTACGGCTTCTCTTTGGTGCCCAGGTGGAAGATGAGGGAGAACACAGCCCCCAGCCCCACCACAATGAGGGACAGGTTCTGGGTGAGGCAGAGGGGGTGAGCATAGCAGGGGGTGCCCTTTGCCTGCCCGTCACCTACCCCCCAGCAGTCCGCTGGATACTTTACTGGGTTCCCAAAAAGCCAGGGAGAGCTCAGTGTGGCCCCTGCCCTGTGCCGTAGGTGAGATTTCAGGGCACTGCTATTTCTTTCCCTCCAGTGCCTCCCCCGTTGAGCCATGTCCCACCCAGGGAAGAGAAGGCCCCAAGGAGTGAGCCCGGCCACTTACCCGAAATATAGGGACATCCTGGATGCCAAGGTGCTCTGTGCGGTCAGGCTGGTCCACCTGGAAGTTCAGCAAGGAGCCAGGCCAGGCCATACACAGTGATATTGGCCATGACGGTAAAGGCATACCTGGGGGGAGACAGCAGCTCAGGGTGACGCAGGGGGACAAACGCAGCTCCAGGCACGGCGGGGGCACCTCGACCCAAGGCTGCCTTCCAAGCCAGGCATGCTACAGGCAGCTTGGCACCCCAGTGTCATTGCTGAGCCAACACCTCCAAGAACATGCAGCATCTGGCCAGGCGTTAGCCTTACTGGTGCACCTCCCAGCATGCCCAATCCAAGCCTCGGGGCACGACTGGGATGAAACCAAGATCCCTCTGAGTCAGCCTGTCCACCCTCCAGTCGCGGCTCACCTCTGCCCCAAGGATGCCCCGAGCTGCCCGACGCAGTGCCCCCAGAGCTGGACCCCTTGTCCCCAGGGTTACCCCAGGACTGCCCCACATCCTCCCTGCCCAGCGGCGCTGCGGTCCCCGCTTGCCTGCCGGCAGGGGAACTTCCTCCCACCGGGGCAGATAACCAAGCCCTGCTCTGTCTGATAAACCCTCCTTCCCACAGCCTGATCCTGCCAGATAAGCAGCACTGAGCCCGGCTCCGTGCATGGAGCTGCATGGCTCTGCGGCCATCCCTACCCATGGGACAGCTCTCCCTGGGGACATCCAGGGGCCGTCTGTTCCTTCCCTGGGAGCATCGCCCTCCAGTCCCGAAGAAGTGCCCCACAGGCTGTCACCAACATCCATGGCATCAGGACATTCCCTCCTGGCACCAAAGGGTTTGGGCCACCAACCCACAAGACCAACGTCACTTGGACACATCCTGCAGGACACCCACACGGCCCAGTCCTGGTCCTGCTGTACCACGGGCTCAAGTGTGCCACAGCACACAGGGGACATCAGACCTGTGGCACCCAGGGGACCTCTCATCACACAAGCAATGGGACTGGGTGCAGGCAGGGCTGCTCCCCCGGGTTCAGGGGACACCTGGGTCTGGCTGTGCTCACCTGAAAGCTGTGAGCTCCACCTTGCCATGGTCACTGGTCACCAGCTCGGGGATGAGGGACAGGTGGGAGATCTGCGTGGCTGCCCAGCCGAATTGGAAGATGACGATGAAGGGGAGGTAGTAGATGAAGGCTGCCCACTGCGGCGTGTTCTCCTTGCAACCCAGGCAGGGGTTGAAGATGAAGGGGAAGGACACGAAGACGCAGGTGGTGCCTGGGAAGAGAGCGGAGCGGTGAGAGGCTGCAAGCCCTGTCTCCCAGTGGTCCCAGCCGGCTCAGACACAGACGGACAGACACAGCCAGCCCTCTGCTAGGACAGGTCCTACCCCCAGCGCTGGGGAGGGAGGTGGGCCCCTTCCCCCAGCCAGGTGAGACACATGGAGCCCCAGACCCCCCACCCCATCCTGCACAGGGTGATGTCCTTCCCTCTCGCACCCAGCGGCGAGGCAGACAGACACTTGCCAGCAGACTTCTCCAGCCAAGTTCTCCCCCACAAAGTTCCCCTCACACCTGCTCTGTCCCTCTCAAAACACCAGAGGACAGACCCTCATGCTGTCACGACACGCAGCCACCAAGGGCTTCTCTCCCCATCTCCAGCCTGCAGATAACCAGCCCCAAGGACACGCGCCGCCCTGCCACCCGCCTGAGGGCGATAAGGCACCCCGAGGGCCAGGAGGGCTCCGGGCTGTCCCGCGGGCACAGGGCCAGCCCATCTGTCCCCTTGTCCCTTCTCCCATGGGGCTGGCAGAGGGAGCCTCCACGCTTGCAGAAGTCACCTGCAGAGCGATGGCCGGGGACACCTCCAGCGCCATGGGGGGGGACAGGGGCAGATCTGCCCCCCACGCCAGGCTCTGAGCCATGGGAAGGTCCCAGCTGAGTCAGGGACAGCAGAGCCAGGCTCCTCCCTCTGCCGCAGCCTGATGGCGTGGGGACGCCTGCGTGGAGCAGGCAGGGACAGGCTGGCTTCTCCCTCCCCTTTCACAAGGTTACGGAGCAAATCTGCTGAGATGCTCCGCTGCTCCCGAGGCCCAGGCGCCGACGCGGAGACGGCTGCGTCCCCTGTCCTGCGTGGCCCCAGCTTCCCCAGGCGCTGCCGAAGAGCTGTGGGAACCTGTTCCTATAGCTGAGGGGAACCCACAGCCGCTTTGCCAGGTCCCCAACGTCCCCTCTCCAGGGGACTTTGCAAGATCCTCCTCCTCACAAGCCATTTCTCCTCCTCTCACTCATGAAAGGCAGTTCTTCCTCCCCATCGCTTCCACGTGGCACAGCCACCCCAGCTGCCACAGGGCTGCAGCAAAGCGGTTCTCCCTGCGCCGAGGGCAGGCAGTGACAATCCCAGCCCAGCTCAGATCCATCCTGAGCAAGGACCCCAGCAGGGTGCTGGGTGCTGCCCTGCATTGGCTCACAGCCAGCTCTGCTGCTCCAGGAGCTCCCCGAAGGACAAGGGACTCGGGCACACTGCGGCATCTCTGCCCCAGACAAGCCACTGGGATGGAAAGGGTCCAAGAAGGTTCAAACCAGACCAGACCTTCTTTCTTCCCTGTTACAGGGCTGGTGGTTTTAACCGAGCCCCACCTGGAGAATCGGGGAGGCTCTGCCCCCTCCCCAGTCCCCGGGCCCTGCAGGGTCGGGGTCTGCAGTCCCCTAAGGGCTGCGAGGGACTTGCCCGCGTCCCCAGGGGAGCGCTGGGGCAGGAGCTGCCAGCCCCAGGCTGCTGCAGCCTCCACGTCCGCCCCTGCGCCCACCCAGGAGTCATCGCCGCCATCACACACGCAGGAGACTCCTGTCACTCCCTCCTCCTCACGGCCCCCAGGGACAGGCAGTGCCACCACCGAGGCCACCCGCACGGAGCCGTGCTCCTCTGGCACGGGGCTGTGGGCTGCATCCCCACACCCGCATATCCCTGGGTCTGCCCAAGCGAGCGCGGCTTCACTGTGAGCCAGAGGGGTCCTGGGGACCCCCAACTCTCCCAAGCAGGGCTGTGGGAGCCCCCCAAGACCACCCTGCCCGTCCCTGCAGCACCTCAGGGCAGGCAGCAGAGGTCCAGGCTCTCATCTCCCAGCCCTGCGGGGCAGGATCATGGGAACACCACGCTGCGCGGCACAGGCGCCCCGGGCAGGGAATTGGTACAGCGCTACCAAACTGGCTCAGACAGACAGCAAAGAGCCGCTCATCCTTCCCACCCCATTGCGGCAGGAAGCTGCCCCCAAAAAAAGCCGGCGAGCAGCCAGGCCGGCGCGCGGGGTGAGCTAGCCAGGACCGCCGGCACTGCCAGCCCAGTGCCGTGGTGGGGAGATGCCACTGATAGCAACTCGTGGTATCTCTCCCCCATGCCCGAGGCTGCGGTTTCACAGCATTTCCTCTGATCTGAGCATGAGTTGCCACCAGATGAGCCGCCCCGCTCACACGCGAAGCACCTCACCGCAGCGTGACCGACTGAGCCGAGGGTGGTACCGGCACGGACGGTTCCAACGGGTTTGCTGGCCCCGCTCAGTCGCACCATAGTCAGCCAAGGGAAGCGGTGGGGTAGCCCCCACCTTTTCGGAATAACCCACGCTCCGGCCAGGGAAACGCAGCCTCCGTCCGTGCCTCCAGCCTCCCCTCGCGCTGCTGGAGCGGGCAGGGCTCTCTGCTCCCCGCGGCAGGGAGCGGAGCCGGTCGGGGCAGCCCCAGCCCCTGCGCAAGTTGTGATTCAGGACTTCCCCTTTGGTGCACGCTAGGCAGCACCCAGCTGAAGCGGACCTGCTCGGGGAGGGGGAGAAGCACGGCTCCGGCCACTTCCCTAAATCTAGGGCACAGATCTAGCTGACACCGCAGCGGGGGACGAATCTGCCTCCCCCCAACACCCTCCCTAACTCTCCAAGCAAAACTCCAGGGAGATCAGCCACCGTATCAGGCTATCGCTTGGTTGCATGAAGCGGTTGGCCAAGATAAATTCGGGATCAAGATAAGAGCGCCCACACTACAACCGTTCTCTCTCTGCGTGGGTCCACTCGGGGCGAGCCGGCACTCGGGCGTTACCGTGCCGTTACCGGGAGGAAGCATGGAGGGCCTTTATCTCTGGCTGTCAATGGACGTTTCTTCACACTAACTGCCCCATTCCCCATCGCCAGGTCAGCCGGGACGGGGCAGGCTCCTGCGCCGATCGCAGCACCGAGGACTCTTCTCCAGGTCACGCTCTCCCCTCAGAGAGGGACCCCGACACAGGAGTCCCCACCAGCCCCCCGCGCTTCGTTGCATTTTCTGACCCCGGGGCATGATGCAAGACGAGCGCCTGTTAATAATTCACGCCGAGCCGGTGCCTCCTCCGCATCCCCACGGGGCCCTTACTCACCAGGTGCCGGCTGCGAAAGCAGCACGCGGGGTGCCCAGCCCCGGCACAGCCAAGGGCCCCGTGCCCCAGCATCACCCCTGGGGACAACTGAGAGCTGCCTGGCCACAGGCAAGTCCCAGGTAAATCCCCGGGCTCCCGGGAAAGCCCAGATTTTACTGTCAGTCTCGTTTTTGCTGTAGCATCGACCGGCTAAGCACACAGCTCTCACCCTGACTCGATGCCACCCCCACGCAGGGGGACGTGGGGACACCCTGCAGCCCCCCGCCACCGCACAGGGGTGGCCCGAGGGACAGCGGGGAGCCCTGGGCTGTGAGCGCCCAGGCAGCCCCCGTCACTGCGGCACGGGCCACCGGGACAGGGACAGCACCCCAGCAGGACAGGGACAGTGCTGTGCCCCTTCCCCGTCCAGGTTCAGCCATCCATGGCTGGGGGATCCCGGAGCACCTTGCTGTCCCCCCCAGGGCTGTCCTCTACACATGGGGCACCCCAGAAAGGCACCTCCCGGTCTGCCCCCCTCCACGCAGGGCACCCCGGGCCCATCTCCCCCCACCCCAGCCCTGATATCGCTGAGGGCTGGTTCACCCTCCACACAGGGCACCCAGGAAAGGCTCCCCAGGGCAGCCCCCCTTCCACCCCAGGGCACCCAACTCTGCTCACCCCTGGGGCTGCCCCTCTCCATCTGGGGGGGACCCAGTCCCCACCTCACTGCCATGGGGGCAGGGGGCTCCAGGAAGGCTTCCCTGGGGCTGACCCCCACCCCAGAAAGCCCCCCCAGGGCCACCCATCTCCATCCAGGGCACCCTGCAAAGGCACCCTTGGTCCCCCCCACCCAGGGCACCCCAGAAAGGCTCCCCCGGGGCCACGCCTCTCCACCCAGAGCACCCCAGAAAGGTGCCCTTGGTCCCATTCCCCCCAGGGCACCCAGAAAGGCTCCCCTGGGGCCATCCCTCTCCACTCAAGGCATCCCAGACAGGCACCCTTGGTCCCATTCCCTACCCCAGGGCACCCCAAAAGGGCACCCCGAGGCTGATCTTGCACCCCAGAAAGTCTCCCCCAGGGCCACCCATCTCCATCCAGGGCACCCAGAAAGGCATCCCCAGAGCTGACCCCATACCCCAGGAAGGCTCCCCTGGAGCCACCCATCTCCCCCAGGGCACCCTGCAAAGGCACCCTTGGTCCCCCCCACCCAGGGCACCCCAGAAAGGTTCCCCAGGGCCACCCATCTCCATTCAGGGCACCCCAGAAAGGCTCCCCTGGGGCCACCCCTCTCCACCCAAGCACCCCAGAAGGGCGCCCTTGGTCCCATTCCCCCCAGGGCACCCCAAAAGGGCACCCTGGGGCTGATCCTGCACCCCAGAAAGTCTCCCCCAGGGCCACCCCTCTCCACCCAGGCCACCCTGCAAAGGCACCCTTGGTCCCCCCACGCAGGGCACCCCAGAGAGGCCCCCCAGAGCCACCCATCTCCATTCAGGGCACCCCAGAAAGGCTCCCCCGGGGCCACCCCTCTCCACCCAGGGCACC